GGAATGCAAGATACAACTACAAGCTCTCCTGAAACATGGCTGATTCATGTTGCAACCAGTAATTGAGGGGCCGGTGACACAATGACATTTACTTTTCTTGCTATTTCATCCCCCATTTCCTGTACCATAATAACCCACATCCCATGGTGAACAAAGTGGGCTTTACTGACAAAACGAAAGAAAAGTTGGACTAGGGCTGGTTGAAAATAGCAACGATCTGTTTCTAAATGAAGTGACCAGTCTAGTGAACTCCATGTTCCCTGAGAGTCTCCTTTTGAAGACCTCCTACCCTAGCCTCTCTCAGCAGTTCAGCCCAAAAAGTCAACTGGCATTACTAGATTTTTATAAGGACTAGCCATCAGCATTCTTGTGTCATGGTAGGTAGCAGCATGCAATATGATGACTGAACAAACACATCTGAGTTCACACCTGCCTGGACCATCTACTATCTGTGACTTCGGGGAGGTTATTTAACCTTCTTGTGACTCAACTATTATACATTATCTCATCTAATTCCCCAGAAGCAGATATTATTAGTGTCTACCTTGACAGATCAGGAAACAGACTTAGAAATATTAGGGACTTACTTGAGGACACATTTATGTCTAAACCCTGAACTCTAAATTCAAAGACCATCTGTGGCTCTGAAGTATGAGCCTCAGTTATGCACCAAAATAATTTCCTTTGGAAAAGTCACCATTTGTTCTTTTAGAGCCCTGAGTTAGGCTAATCAGGGACAATCTCCTTTTCTTGAAGAAAGAATTCAGTACTGGATGCAATCATGGAAAAAGTGAGTTCCCTCCAAATTCTCGTAATAAGACAGTCAGTGCAGAAGACAAACTGTTGAGGTCGTTTGAGGAGATGATACCTCTAAGTAAGAGAAGATATGTACTTTTTTTCAGCAAAGAACCTGCTGTTTCAAATTTCCAACAACTGGATCACTGTTTAAATACTGGCAGGGAGTGAAGTTTTCATGCCATGGGTCATCTCTGAGCTGATGAATTCTACCAAATTTGAGCATCGAGGCAATTGGAAGTGAAACTGATATTTTCAAATGTATTTTTATTTCCTCAGAAATAAAAGATGTTGGTTTGACAAAATTAAAGTTGCACAATCTATTACTAAATATGAGAAGTAAAACACAGGTCATCTTCAGCCAGCTTTCCATGTTTTGCATGATGATGTCTTGTTATGTCAATAAATTTATCAAGTGTTTCTAGCACATTAGTTGGCATCATCTAGCAAGTACACTCATTGTATTTACCTGTAGACGTGGGTAGGTGGATTTCTGGCTGGGTGTTCCATGAATTAACCTAGTTTAAAAACTGTCAGGAAAGCTTAGGTTCAAAGTCCCACCAGGAGATCTCTCTATACTCAAGATTTGGTGTTTGAGTGTTGAACATGGGAAGAGACCTTTTAGATTGATGTGAGAGTAAATCCAAGATGGTGCCCCCAGAGCCCAAGGCTTCCATTTATACCCATGGGCTACTGAGGCTGGGAGCGGCAGGTCATGGAGTGACACAGAGGTCAAGCTCACAACTCTGGAAGGTTCAGAAACTGCAGAGAGTGACTGTGGATCCTGGATTATCAAAGACCCCTGGTCTGAGCCCAAGTATACAGGATTGTCCCACCAGAGGCCCGCAGTGGGAAAGATGTCAACTTTCCAGGAAGCGTGAGTGTGAAGGATAAATTTTAAGCAGAACCACTGTGGTATGAAAGGGTGGGTAAGCCTTTGCTGACCTGTGCTATAGGTGTCTGGAGGTGTGATACAGAAGGGGCAGGGATGTGTCGACAAAGGCAACCTGACGAAAGCCTGTAAGAAACAAATTTACCTGTGGAAACAGGGAGAAGATTGCTCCCACAATCAACCTTGAAACACCAAAGAAGCTCACCCACATCCAGCCTGGGCCTGGCTGTTGACATAACCTGAAGGAAGTAATTCACCGATTTTCCAAGCCCTCAGATCCACCATCAGCCTGGGATCCAGGTCTTGGGTAATGAGCAGCCTGGGTGACGAATGAGGTTTGGAGTCAAAATCTATCTGAGGCCTCTCTCCCTGCCAACGTCTACAGCTTAATAATTGCTTCCTCGCTCCCGCTGCATTCGGGTTCAAGAGAAACGCAAACCCCTCCAGCAGCATTATGCAAATAGGGCCCACTGCGTTCCAGCGATGGCATATAGAATATGTAAATTTATGGTAGTGGCAGAGGCTGCTTAAGACAGAAGATTTCTCAATGATGAAATTAGATTTTCTGGAAAGAGGCTTCCGAGGACCTGTCTCCGTTCTCCTGCATCGTGCTGTGCAGTAGCTACCACACCGGTGCTCTGGGAAATAATTAACTGAATTACAGGCTCAAACTTATTCTAAAAAAATCAAGAAGGGAAGAAGAAATAGATCAGGGTTTGCGAGGCCACAGTAAATTTATACTTTACAGAAAATGTAAATAACAACGGAGGGTGCGAGAGAGGAAAGCAGATGGGTAGGGAAGCACCCGTCTTGGGTTGGCAGGAGAAATTGACACAAGATAGGGAGCTTTGACATCACCTTGGCCTTGGCAAGGGTGAGGATAGAAGAATGGACAGAGCCGTGGGCCCTGGTTTCTGCTTCAACTTAGCACTGCCACTTTTGTCTGTTTTATGTACCTGCCTTCTCACAATTTTGCTAGAAGAAAGCATTTATGTGATTTAAAAATATGAACAAATCATTCATCTAGACCAGATCAGACTTGAACATGCATCGGGCTTACCAGGAGGGCTTGTTAAACACGGATTGCTGGATGCTGCACCCAGAGTTTCAGAATGAGTCAGCCTGGAGAGGGCTCAAGAATTTCCATTTCTGACAAGCTCACAGGTGATGGCTGCTGCTGCTAGCCAAGGGGACATACCCTGACAACCACTGACAGATGTGGGAGACTGGGGCTCAAAGAGTTAAGCGATTTGCCAAAAGTCACATAGTGGAGTCAAAGCTGCATACTCTTTACCATCATCATCATCACCATCAGTGTAATCGTCATCATTTTTATTGTTACTCTCAGTTGCTGAGAGCTTTCTATGTGCCAGGCACTGTGCTAGGCACATATGCACCTTACTTGCACTCTAATCTCCAATGGATATATTGTTATGGACTAAATATTGCGTCAACTTAAAATCCACGTGTTGAAGCCCTAACTCCTGATGTGATGGCATTTGGAGATGGGTCCTTTGGGAGGTTATTAGGTTTAGATAAGATCATGATGGTGGGGCCCTCCTCATGGAATTAGTGTCCTTATAAGAAGAGGAACACACACACAAACATTCTTTCTCTATGCATCCACAAAGAAGTGGTCCTGTGAACACAATGAGAAGGTGGCCATCTGCAAACCAGGAAGAGAATCTTCATCCAAACCCAAATCTGCTGGCACCTTGATCTTGGACTTTTCAGCCTCTAGGACTGTGAGAAATAAATGTCTGTCATGTAAGCCACCTAGTTTATGGTATTTTGTTATAGCAGCCCAAGCAAACTAAAGCAAACACTGAGGCTCAACTTCAAGTAGCTTCACCTCCTGATCTCCAGGTGTCTCATATGTAAAATGGGAAATTCTGACCCTTCAGAATGTTGGGAGGATTCAGTGAAATTTTACACATGATGTGCTGAGCACAGAGCTCAGCACAGAGCAGGGGCTCAGTCATTAGATAATAGTAATTAGTATTATTCTTATAATTACTATTACTAATTGACTTGTGAGGATTGGGAGATAGCCTAGAGTGAGCTTGGGTTTCAGAATACAGAATCTCGATTCCAGTCCTAAGTCCTAAGCTCTTCACTGTGAGGCTAGGGGAGCATGTCACCACCCTCTCTAAGACCCAGGTTTTACAATGGATGGAACTTGGTGGCCCCAGGACATATGCAGCTGTACAACCTCTGATTCCATATTTCTCAGGGTGGGGCTATTTCTCACTGCCATGTTGCCCCAGTATAAGTGTCATTTTTTCCTCCTGGACTGTCATCCTGCCTTCTCCTGGCCTTCTTGCCTCTGGTCTTGCCTCAGTAACTCCACCTTTCTAAAACTTAAGATGGCAACCTGATATGGTGTTCTCCCACGCAGACCCTTTTGTGGCTCTATTTCCTTTACTTGTATCAAGTCCAAGCGTCTCAGCTTGGCACTCTAACTCCTTCATGCTCTGGTCCCTCTCAGCTCCTCATTTCCTGCCTCTACTTCTTCTACTTTATTTTCCAACAAAAACAGAAGTTTGTATTTGCCCTCAGGCACCATGCTATTTCCTGTCCTCCCACCATTGCTTTTACTGTGCCTGCTGCCTGGTGCTCCATCCCTGTTTTTCCTCTCTTTGTCTGCGAACTGTTTGACCTTTAGCACTCAGCTCAGATATTGTGTGTCCTGAGAAGCTATCCATCACCTACTTTTTTCCTATCCCCAATCCCAGGCTGTGAGGTACTTTCTCTGAGCTGCCTGTAGGTATCTCATTTTAGTTCTCATTTAGTATCTCATTCTAGCTTTCTCATCTTTTGCACTGGACAGTGACTAGTTTAAAGGAAGAGACAAACTTCTTCATTAGGTTTTTTGGAAATTTTTTGTTTTGTTGTTTGCTTCATCTGCTGTCTGCAAGGGTCTTAAGTGCAGGAACTTTATATTTTGTTTGCCACTACAAACACTTATTTCCATGTCTGGCACACGGTAGATGCTCAGTCCTTAAATTAAAAAATCTGAAATCTCTGCTATGCTCACAATTTTCTTATTAATTATCATATCTCTGCTGCCTATCAAAATGTCTGACATGGAAGCATTCAGGAAATAGTTACGGAATGAACAAATGCCTGAGTAAAATGAATGACTTCATAAAAAGTGTAGCGGTCAGCTATTGCTGTATAACAAACAACTATTAAATCCCAGTTGCATACTACAGGCATTTATTTTTCATCTAGCTTTATTTTGTGAGTCAGGTGGGGCAGCTCTGAGTTGCAGGTTGTGTCAGGCTCATCTCCACGTGTCTGTCATCTTCCGTGGGCCAGCAGATTTGCCAGAAGGTGTTCCTCTCCTGGCAAAGACAGATGTGTAAGAGAAACAGTAGAAACACACAAAGTTTCTTAAGGTCTCATCCCGTTAGGACCTTGGCCCTCCCATTCATATATCATTGGTCAAAGCCAAAGTCAAACTCAAAGTCAAAGCACAGGGATGTATCTTCTAGGAGGAGAGGTCACAGAACCACATGGCAAAAGACATAGATACATGGAGGGATGAAGAATCAGGGCCAGTGATTCAGTCCACTCCAATGACCAACCCCATCATCTAGCCCAGAGCTCATGACTCACAGCAACCACTATGACCTCTGAGACAAAGTGACCATGGTGATCCTTCCAAGTTCAAGACTCTAGAATACTTTTGCATTTTCTGCATTTTAAACCCTCCTCTTTCTCCACCATGCAATTTTCAGTGATTTTCCAGTGCCAACAGTAAATAATCTCCAGGGCTCTGTCCACAGGCATTGCCATGCTGGAGAATGTCACAAGCCTGTCCACCCCGTCCTACACCCAGCCCACAGTGCATGTTGTGAGGGTCTCCCTGATGTTTAATGCATGAGCTCCACATTCTCGCAGCAGCCGCCGCAGACAGATTCTCTCAGCATGGGAATGGCCATGAAATCAGATGACTGTACAGGAAGCAGTCACCCCTCCCCTGCCTCCGCCTTTCAATTGTTGTGAGGCTCTCCTGCTTCGACTCACTTCTAGTTTTGTAATCTCTTTTATTAATGTGCCAGAGGCAGAGAAAAATGCATTTGTAATTTCCTCTTAATGGCTGGTAGAACTTCTCTTTGCTTTCTTTCTGAGCATGTGTTTGTGGCGCGTGTATGTGCCTGCGCACACACAAAAACACACACACTACACACACACTCCAGGTCAGGATGAATTGAGTGGCAAGGCAGTGGATGTCAAAGCACAGAGTCTTGGAATATTTCAGCAGG